TGTGTGCAAAGCGCTCGCCGGCCCTGGGCTGGTACCCTGTCAGCCAGCATCAGCTCAGGCTTCCCTTGTACTTCCTTTTCCATCTGTAGCAGTTATTTGGCTTTTTTTTTAAGTGGCAGAGGCTTTTTGTTTGTTTTTTGTTTTTGTTTTTGGTTTTGGTTTTTTTGTTGTTGTTGTTGTTGTTATAAACTGAAAAATACCAGGACACAGAAAATCTAACTTTAAAACTTCAGGGATGTGATTCTGTAAGCAAGATTTCTATGTAAGCAGCTGACTTAACTTAAAGTAGGTACCTGCAGGGCTTGTGTGTGTGTCTGGGAATGGGAATGTCTGAATGGATCTTTGAAGGCAGGAGGAGAAAGTTCACGCTAATGTTTTCCTGGTTTAAAGCATCATTTATTTAACTCTTAATTCCTAGCATGCTGAATTTATAGGACAGCAGGGGTGGCGTGCCATTTAAATGTGGCCAGAGGAAGGCCAAGAGAAGGCATCCAGTCTGACTGGCCGCCCCTTCCTCTTGTGCCCAGTGGCACCAGGGAGACAGGGTCCCCAAGGTCGGAAGTCTCAGTGGGTTTGAAAGCCGTGGTCGTGTTTGTACAGGAGAGGTGCAGGTACCAGGGCCGCCGTCCCTGCGCGGGGCTCAGGGGTGGTTTCGGGAGCAACTGTGATATAGATCTCAGCGAAGCTTCTGCGAGGTGCTCCACGTCGCTGTGGTCACAGTGCTGATAAAGTATTGAGGCTTTTCGTGTGCCAGGATCAGAGTCTGCTCGTTATCTATGGCAAGCTTCCCCCGCATGCCTTTTACAGGCCTGTCAGGAACAGGGAAGGGGGAAATACTGTTCCTTGTACCATGGCCCAGATAATGGCACTGGGACATTCTGATATGTTTTGTAACCAATGGCCAGCTAATGCTAATGCTGGCCATTTGTATTCAGTTTTGTTAGATCTTTAACTTATATTTTTACCTGACTCTTGCATTTTTAGTGACCCAATTAATTAAGGGTTTGTTTATGGTAGCAATTATATAAACATTATGTGAGGAGAACCCTTGTCCTAAGGAGTCTGTAGTGATTTTTTTTTTTTCCTTCCTACAGTCCATGCACAATACTTACTTTGAGCTTCCTCTGGGGAATTATATTGGAAAGGGGCTGCAAATGAGAAGGAAGTAATTTCCCTTGTTGCCAGGATGATGTAAGACTTGAGTAAATCTAAGGCAAAAATGAGTGAAAAGAAAGCATTTAAATCGACATAAAAATAAGACCACCTCAATGGAAGCTCTTCAGGATCCACTTCTAATAGGCACAGAAATTTTGCTCGTTTTTATATAAGCATCAAAGCTGTATTCTTCTCTTGCTGCATAGAGCCGTCGGCAGCAGTTGGCAAGCTCCTCGTGAATTTAGTGAGAATCTTTCCATGGAAATATATAGTACTTGCATCTTGCTTGGGGAGCTTGTGGCTCATAATGGTCAAGTGATGTTTTTACACAAAATTGGGCCTAGTTCTTAGCCTGGTCTTCTCAACCCCACTAAAGAGGGCAAATGTTCATTCTGCTTGGTCCTGACTACACAAATCTGTCTTGACTGCCTGGGGTTGGGTTCCCCAGAGAAAAGGTTGAGTTTTTGTGGTTTGGGCACCTCCTAGGTCCGGGAGAGGGTATGGCCTGTGGCAGAGCTGCAAGTGGAAGGGGTGAAGAGCTCAGGCTCTGAAATGAAGCAGCAAAGCACGGAGCAGGCAGCTGTACCCAGTGGTAGGATGGGGTGCTCTCTTGGGGCAGCCTTAATGCCACGGTAAAGAGTCCTTCCTTGTTCCTGCCTGAAGTGCACTTAATAGTTATTTGCTAGTATTTTGCATGCCGTGAGAAAGTCATCTCAGAAGACTGCAGACAGAGCAAAAATGCAAATATCCCAGGAAATAAACTTTAATCTCCTACTGGAGGGGAACGCAGGACGCCCAAGGGACCTGGAGACGAATAGGCCACAGGTGACCTCAGCTCTCAGAATATGAATTGAATAAGTGTCACAAACACTTATTTTGTGAGAGATTGATCTGTTAGGGCATGATACTAGACTGCTGTGCAGAATGGCTTACATTGAAGCCTTCAAAAAGCTGTTTTGCAGTTAGCTTTAAGTGACTATAATATAGTTGCATTTGCAGTATGCATCAGTCCTTAACTAACATTCAAGGACAGATTTTAAATAACTCTTGAGCAGTTGGAATTTTTTATGGCAGAAGGATAGCGAATAGTAAATGAAAAGGTATGGGGGTAGGTCAGAGAAGCTTCCCACTGCTGCCCATGTTCATGGAAAATGGAGAAGAAAAAAATGGGAAAAAGAGTGAAGCAAAATGAAAAGATTAAGCGTAAATGTGTGGATTTAGAGAGAATGGAAGTCCCGGTTTCACTGTCTAATGGGAGAACAGTGTCCAGTTCCCCGGCAGCCTCCCAAATCTTGGGTGCACGTGCTGGTTTCTGGTGGCTTTGGTGCCGTGCCCGGATACGACAGTGCTGTGCGGCCCTGTTAATTCTGATGCGTTACCAGAACGAGAGGCGTGCTGGGACCGGCACACTTCATTATCCTTTTGCTCCTTTCCCATTGCTCTGCTGGTGTTGAGCTGGTCTGCGTTTGGCTTTGGTGAGATGAAAATCAAAGCATATCTTGGAAAAAATGAGATGTTATTTGGCAGGCTGATAGATCTCTATGCCAGTGGTGGTGTATTATATTTTTTAGCTCTTAACAATTAGATTCAATTTCTGTTTTCAAAATGTGCTTGCAGAGAGTTCCTTGGATCTTCTGATTTTTTCCCTCTCTTTTTTTCCCCTCCCTCTTCCTGAAGCCAAATGACATTGTTCTTGTATTTGAGATGTGTTTAGCTAGCAACTCTGCTCCATCTAATATGCTAAGATAGTTTTTCTTGTGGTTCTGCAGGGCTCTGCTATCTCCGTGCTCTTTAGGTACTGGTATCTGCTGGCTTGCATTTTCATCAGTTATATAAACTGTGTTGCAACAAAGTCAACCAAGGGTTCAGATTTTGCTGTCTCTTTAGTGACTTAACTGTTAATTGCCTGAGGTGTTAACTGTGAACAGATTACCCCCGGCTGGACTCAGTGCACTGAGGTTTGAGTGCAATGAAATTCTGCTCCCAGAAGGCCCATGGCCAGACTTAATTTGGGTCTAGGGGACTCTGTTGTCATTATGTCACTGCAGTCTTTATGTTGTTCTTCCAGTGGGCGTATCCTTCTCTAGGTACATCCTGGAAAAAACGTGTACGGCTGCTATTCCAAAGTCTGCTTCAGGATCTGCTTTGTTATCAAAGGTTTTATGACCTGCATTTTTGGATGATTAGATCCAAAATACAGTAGTTGGGGCTGAAATCGATGCAGTGGCCAGCAGCAGGGCAGCTCGCTGCAGAGGTGCCCGTATCGCAGCGTGCGGGCGCGCGGCTTTGGCGGCTGCTGCAGAGGGCTGGCCCGGAGCTGCTGCTGGCCGCGCTGGCGCGGTGCCGCCGCGGTCACATTGGCAGGGCGCATGCGGAAGAGCCAGCCTGCTGGTGCCTGCAGGCCCGTAGCTATTTCTTTTGAACAAACAGAAACATTTTGTCTTGTCAGCAGCGATCGGAGGTTTCTGGCACGAGTGCTCCTTGCCCAAAATCGGGGATGGATGGTGCTGGTTTGAGGGCTCCTGGGCCCGGATGGCTCTGCCTGCCCGGCTCGCTCGCTGGCGAGCCCGGGGGTGCCTCCCATGCAGCTTGCACAGCGCCTGCTCCCCACAGGGGCGTGCGGCGGATGCGCTCGCTCCTTGGCACGTCCAAGGCACGCAGCGACGCGGGCGAGCGCGCCGGGCGGGCAGCAGCCCTGCTGCGGGCGGCCCCTCAGCAGCGAGCAGCGCGTTGGCTGGTGTGAGGAGGGGGCGAGCGGCCGCCCGGAGCGACGGGCGCCGCTGCCTCCTGCGCGTCCCCTGTGCGTCCCCTGCTGCCTCCAAAGACCTTACGAATGGAGAGCGGCGAGTGCTGCAAGCTGCTGCCTTCTCTGGCACCCTTGCTTGCCTCAGAGTCCTCGTATCAAGGAGGGTCTGCAAATGTTGCATTGCAAGTGTGACCTCAAAATACCTGCAGTGGAAGGACAGAAGGAGTAAAAAAAAAAAAAAAAAAATAAATTGAGGCTAACATTGTGCATTCTTGTATGCGGCAGTGTTTGCTTAAACAGCATGTAGGGGCTTTGACCTTGTTCGCTAGTCGAGCCTTCAGGGGTTAAACTAGGTTCTGCTGAAATTAGCTGTGCTTTTGACCTAAGTAGTATCCTGAGTTCAGGGACTGCATCAGCGACTGCAGAGGTTTTTAATTCGCTTCTGGGGAGTACTGAGTAATGTAATGTAATGCTGGTACCTTGTCTTTGAAGGGGCACACAGCTACCTAAATAAGCTGAGCTGTGGAAATTGAGAAAGAGGGGAATCAATCCCTAAAAAAAAAAAAATGCCGTGTAGATTATTGTTCACTATTCCTTGAAGCCCTGGAACAGTGAAAACAAGAGTTGTTCTCCCTGGCTCTGGCTTCTTTCAAGCTCTGTTATTCTGTATCAGTTAAACAGTTTTATGTCTATTTTTGCTTTCTTTAAGGCTACAGATCAAATATCCGAGTTTCAGACTTCATTCATGTGTTTTATTTTTCAGGTGATACTACAAGACAGAGATCTATTTACATTTTGCGGAGTTAAATGCAGTATTTTATATGTGAATGTGTGAATTGAGAAAAGACCAATTGTCTTATGAAACTAGTTAATACGAAAGCCGAAACAAATCAGGAAGACTTTGAACATGTATGATCTATACTGTGTATTCTGAATGTCTGGGCCATTGTACTCAGTTATTCCCTGAATCGTTATGACTTTTGAAACTTGAAGCAGCATAGGAACCAAAAAATGTTTCTGCAAAGCAGTGCTCATTTGATCTATTTCTGTGGCTTGCCTATGCCTCTGCTGTGCTCAGTATGAATTTTTGTTTTAACAGGATCTCCAAACATGGGTGAATGGTGCTAATGAGAATGGCTTTGTCCTCGTGTCATTTGGAGCTGGAGTGAAATATCTGTCAGAAGAGATAGCAAATAAGTTAGCACATGCCTTGGCAAGACTGCCCCAGAGAGTTATTTGGAGGTAAGTGCAGTGGTACTGGGGAGATTTGACACACACTCACTTTCTGTTGCACCACTATGATCTAGGAGCCATTGAAGGCAGGGTCTGCAGTTCACACAGTTTGGGTGGCACAGGGGACCTGTCTGTTTGGAAAGATGCCCTTTGTGGAATATTTGCAGTCCCCTTATTTTCTGGATAAGTTATGATTTCTCAGCAGAACGGGCTGTAGGTTAGAACCCTGTGCTGAGTGTGCATCCCAGACGGATGTGACAGAAGGAGTGGGGACAGCAAGAAGAGGCTGAGGTTGTAACATTAGTGACATACTGTCAGCATTTCTGGTGAAGGCGACACACCAGGGAGAGTGTGACAACCTGCTGATTTAATCTTAGGAAGGATTCAGGACATCACAACGTTACAGAAAGGATAAAAGTCTCCGTAAGCTGTTATGCAGAGGGGAAATACCCTTTCCCCAGTGCCCACTTCTCTCTCTTCTGACCCTAACTGGCTTGATGTAGCCTCGTTCTTCCTTTCTTATGACAATCCTTAAGTTTTCTTCACTGTCAGCTCTCTCTCGTTTGCATTTTTCTCTTATTCTTGCCTTCATTTGGCAATGAAGCAAAGAGTGTCTTTCCCTTTTCATGCTGCTCCTTTGTACCCATTAACAAAGCTACTTGAGGCACAGGTGAGCATCAGCAGCCACCTGAGCTGTTGGCAAGGCCTGTGCAGAGCATGTGACGCATCTTGCTTGAGAGCTGCTCTCCTGCTGTAGCTCATAGGCTTCCTGAGGTTTGTCATCGTGGTACTCTGCAGTATAATGGTGAGATCACAGTTTGTGTGCAGCCCACTTGCTTTGCTGAGCTAGTAACTGGTCACCAAACAGTCTGATGTAGGAAACCTAATGGCAAGATTAACTCTATTATGTGTTTTTAGGCCAGTTAGCATTCTGACCTGTATAGGAAACATGTTCTGTCAGCAATCACAGGGTAGAGATTAAGACATATTTCAGGGGACATGTACAGTTGCAGAGTGCTTTTAAAAGCACTTGAGAACTGCAGACTTCTTCAGTGAAGGCTTCTTTCTTTCTCTTGCTGTTATTGTTGGCTCATATGATCAGACAATTGTGGCCTGAAAAGTCGCATTTTAGAGAGCTTCTAGATTAGCAAGGCTTGTAGCAACGGCTGTTCTTTTGGAGGACTGCAGTATGCAAACTCTGTCCCTGAGTTTCTGACCTTGCTGCAGTTCAGGAGCTGCACTGCACTTGTGCATACTCAACCCATATATTAAACGTATCCTCTCTGCCCCCATCTCTCAAGGACCATTTTCATTTCAGTGTTGTCAAAAGCTTAAAATAGTCAACTCCGCTCATGAGCAGGAAAACTAATTCCCTGGGTAACGTGTCATAGTTGTAGTTAAGATCTGTTGGGTGTTTTTTTTGAAATAGAGATGATATGTGTTCATTGATATGAAATCTCCATCACTGGTTGGCTTTAAATCATTGGTCACAATTCCTCTTAATGTTCTTATTTTGTCCCATCTTTGTAATTTTCTTCCCCAGAATTCTACTTGTGGAAAGTCTGCTGTCTATGGTACATACTTGATCTTAATGTTTTTTATTGGGGGTAATTTTTTAAGGAAAAGCGATTTTGGTTGAAACTTGTTTTTTTTTTCTTCTTAATTTTCCTCAGTGTTCTGTTAGTAGCGGTATTTTTCTTGTGTTTTGTTTTCATGATAAATTATCTTCTGAATGGTTTTTGGATAAGGGAACCCAAGTGCTTGTTCCATCACCAGATTTGGAAGAGAAGGTTATCTGCGGCATTCAGTTTTTAAGCCACAGTCTTTGGAAGATCTGAGCAAGTGGCTTTCAGGGACCTTACTGAAGTTTGAGTTCAACAGTGGGACACATGAATGTGAAATTACAAGTCTAACCTTGCAGGTTTTGTCTTTTAGACCATTGACCTGTGGTCAGTGTTGCAAGTGGGTAGCTTTCTCTTTATACTTGGTTCAACTTTTCGGAAGGGTGCTGCTTGACAGTCGTATATCACACTGCCAAATCAATTCTTTTTAGTCCCCTATGTGCTTCTGGTTAGGTGGCACTAGTTAGAGCCAAAGCCAGTAGCATAGTTTATTTGCTTTAGATAATGTAGTATAAAAATAGCAATGTGTGAGGTTTTTTTTTCTTCCACTGTATAGAATATACCCGTCAGCTGTAAAAATGTTTAATTTACCTAATGAGCAATATGAAGACATTCTTCATGAAGTTGTAATTCCAGTGCTCCCTGATAACCAGAGTACTTCAAGCCTTCTGTCATGTGAAAAATCTTTCATTAGTCATTGTGATTTTTCCCCCTTCTATTTAGAATATATTTAACTTTATATTTTAGCTGTATATCACATTGTGAAGTAAATTAGTAAGCACTTTGAGGACATATTCTATGGTTTAAATTTTCTGAGGCTTTTAAATAAGCAAGGCATTGATTGTCGTTGGATTTCGGAGACAGCTGGGCATGTTAACAAACACCCCTATGTTACTACTGAATCCCCATCTCCGTCTTCTCAATAGATTCTTGCTTCATGAGCTTAGATGTCCCCTTTTCCATTGCTGCTATTAGTAGTTTCTTTTAAAACATAGTGGTGTCAACTATGAGGAGCTAAAGGGAGTTGGCTGGTTGAGAAGGGTTGCCTGATGGTGCTGGTGGGCTTTGCTGCTCCTGTGCTGGTGCCATATTCTTAGTGGAGTTATTTATGGAGTACTAATCAGAGTTTTTCAGTTAAAATAATGGACTCCGAACCATGGAAAGGTTATAAAATCTCCTGCCAGTCACAGCAGTAAGACTTGTATTTTAGGTACACTGAGAAATAGTTGTATTGCCATCATTTAAATAGAATACATAGCACTTCAAGCCAGACTGCAAGAAAATTGAATGATATAGAAAAAAAAATGTGTGTGTGTGTTTTTTTTTTTTTTTTCGGTGTTTTTTTTGTTTGCTGCTGGTTGTTTACACCACTTCATTGAGACTATGTTGTTATCGAGTAGTGATAAGTAAACGCTATCTCCGTATAGCTGGAAGTGTACTTCATAATTACTGTGGATCACTTGGCTTGATTTTTCTGTTCTGAGTTGATCTGTTTTGGAGCTTTTGTTCACTTAATTCCAATTTGATTTTATCATTTTAGGTTTTCAGGAAACAAACCAAGGAATTTGGGCAACAATACCAAGCTTATAGAGTGGCTACCGCAAAATGACCTGCTTGGTGAGTATCTGTTATGGTGATATACTGATCGTTTTCAGTCAGGTTCATGTTGCACTCCTGAGAATATTCTACTGAAATACAATACAATACAATCATTGCAAATCAGGAGTACTTTCTGTACTGGAAGTTATAGAGAAAAATATAGATACCTCTTTGATGTCTATGTGATTTGAGGAAGATTGTCAATTGTGAAACACCTTTGAGATGAATTCTTTCTCATTGCCGTCAACCCCACCTTTTTCCTTAAGCTAACTGATGGGATGGCATAATTATTCCAAATATGATTTGGCCTAATAGGTGGAAGAATTTACAGTTGAGTCTTGTATACTACAGAAGCTATGCAGTTGAAGATTAAAATAAAGAATAATGGATTAAAGGCAAATGAGTAGAAATGGCTATTTTAAGGGAACTCCTGATTGCAACTGTTATTTTCTGTATCTTATGAAAACATAGGGCTTTGCTCATCTTTTCACAGAAGAATCATAAAACTGGGCATATGTAATTCTTCACATTACATCAAAACAAGTTTGAGGGATCTGTACTGTTTAATCTGAGGTACTCCGAGTTCTCAGGTGCAGAGATAAAACCTGGTTATTCCTTCTTCTTTTGATAAAGTTTATATTAAAGTCTGTCTTTAGTTTTCTCCTTCCTCCTCCTTTGCTGAGGTGTAGTTCGATTCCTAGAGATCCTAGGGAACTCAAAATGTTTCTGGTTCTCTGGGATACCTAGATGTTTGTGTGTTCACAAAACAGCTCTGGTGTTACGATGAGTGAGGCTGAAGAATGGATTAAGACTGTGTGTATGTGTGGAGGAATGTATGTGCGTGTCAGCTGGAGTATTTGCAGTAAGTAATATGGTGACCAGAAAAATGGCTTTTAAGCCAGGCAGCTTTGTTTTGGTTACAACATTGCTCTGTGGCGGTGTCATTTTTTTCGTTATGTCAGGTAGCTTATTGTTAGCGCTGCTGTTGGGTCTTGCTAGGCTCAAGTGAGGCCTGTTGGAGCTTGAGAGGGACAAGGCAGCATCACTTGTCACACCATGAACTTGTTTGCCTTTCATGCGAATGAGCAGGGGTTGAGCCTTCTTCCTTATGCTTTTGTAATGCTAAGCTGTTAAATGCTGCTCGGAGTTGCCAACTGCTGTTGCTGAGTGTACGGATTACTCTAGTTACTTTACCTGGCTCAGAGTTGAGAGTATTCTTTGTGTTGACTGACCCACTCCCTGTCTCTCGGCATACCGGGAAATTGCCTAAGGTATACAAAATTTCTGCAGAATGGGATTGAAGGAGAACAGAACTTCAGAACAAGTTGCATCCATCATAACCTTTCTGAGTTGTAGCCACAGAAACCCAGTGATAAATGTGTTGTACTCAGTTGCTTCCGTAACTTTACAATATATAGATGCAAGTAATTTTTTACCGTCATGTTTTTTGTTTGTTTTGTTTTCCAGGTCACTCTAACATTAAAGCCTTTCTCAGTCATGGTGGTTTGAACAGCATTTTTGAAACCATGTACCATGGGGTACCTGTGGTGGGTATTCCCCTTTTTGGAGACCATTACGATACCATGACACGTGTGCAGGCGAAAGGCATGGGAATACTCTTGAACTGGAAGACCCTCACCGAGAGTGAATTGTATGAAGCACTAGTAAAAGTTATTAATGATCCCAGGTATGCTGTGCTCGGGGTGGTTGTTTGGAGGTTTTTTGAATTATGGTGGTAGGGTAGATTTTGTGTGTGTGTATATATGTGTGTGTGTGTGTATATGTATATATACACACACACACACAGACATGTATACACACACGCATACATGCAGTCTTTGTGCATGGGGAAAAAAATTGCCTATTGGGATTTCTAGGAAATAGGGGTAAGTCTTCTCATAGCTGTCCCATTCCACAGGATTACTCAGTCGATCCCATTTATGGTTAGATGGTAAATATTATTCAGCATATCAGAACGCAAGAGTCTCATTTGCTTTTTCTCTCTTTGTAAATATATGCCATACCTGCTATATGAAGGACAACAAACTATAACTGAAAGTGTTGAAGTAATCAAAAAGGGCGACTGACTATAATTTTATTTAAAAAATACGTGAATTCTTCTGATATGGCTACTTCTATGTCTCTTGGAGTAAGGACTATCACTTTCAAAATAATATTTTTCATCACAAGTTATGAATGAGAATGCCAGTCGTTGTCGTCCCCTTTTTTTTTGGGGGGGGGGGGAGGGGGGCTGAATGTTTATGGAATAAGAAGCAGCTCATAATCTGGGCTTTGTAATTACTTCTGATTCTATCAAATAAATTAGAACGATATTGCAAAAATAGGGGGCCATTTAGAAGTTTGTTCTGAATCTATTTTCAACATCTGTGGTGGTCAGACTATCTTCAAATTAAAAACAATGATATTCCAGCTGGTGGCTTACTGCATTAAGCTAATAGAAATTTTGGAGTGTGAAATGATGGCTGCTTCTTCATTTCGTGGAGTGAAGTCTTTAAGCAGCACTTGCCTTGGAAAAAGAAATCCTTGAGGAGTAGACTGTTCAGGAGTGGAGTCTCCATGAACTTGCCAGACTGTTCAGCAGTGGCGTCTCATACTTGTTGAAGAAGTCCTGTATGCTTCAGTTGCATGAGCTTTCTCTTAAACAATTAGCCCAAGTAACAAGGCAAATTTTGCATAAGTGTCTTGTCTGTCCTGCAGCTGGGGTTGACAAAGTTTAATTTGACTTGATTGGGGACATCCAGTTATTCCTCTGCTGTCTGCAGCTACCACCCCCACCTTTAGTCACCCATGGGTCTGTATTTTCAGTAGTTCCTTTGCGATGAGCTGTAAAGGCTGATTTGAAGACAAATTTTATCTGTTGTGCATTTTCCTCTCCGTGTGTGTTGCAGTGATACTCCTTCAAAAAATCCTCGGAAAATTACTATTTGATCTGAAGACACTTCCATATACTTTTGTACATGGAGGCTTGCACTGTTCTGAGAGCTGGATGCAATTTTCACTTTGTCTCCTTTCTTGTTTCTCTTGCACAGCTACCGGCAACGAGCCCAGAGGCTGTCAGAAATTCATAAAGATCAACCTGGCCACCCCGTGAACCGGACTGTGTATTGGATTAACTACATCCTCCGGCACAACGGAGCGCAACATCTACGTGCCGCTGTTTATGGCATCTCTTTATATCAGTATTTCTTACTGGATATTGCCTTTGTTTTACTAGTGGTTCCTGCCTTATTCTATTATATTTTGGCCAGGATAACAAAATTTATCCGCAAACAGAGCAAACATCTTTGGTCAAGTGATGAATATAGCACTGTTAATGGACATTACCAGAATGGGATACCAAACGGAAAGTATAGAAGAAACGGCCACATTAAACATGAAAAAAAAGTGAAATGAGCCAACCGTCCCATGTAAAATAGTAATGAATCAGATCAGTAATCAAATTTTATCGCTGTAACTTAGTCTAACAACTACTTAAAACCTCAATAAGCAGTTCTAACACTCCCCTACAGTATGTTATCTTACGTGACAAAAATTCTACAGAACTAAGAAAAGTCTTTAAAAAAGAAAAGAAAAAAGAAAGCACAACCTAAAATGGAAAGTGTGTTTTATTCTTAATACTGATGCAGAGAGGTTATTTTGGCACTGAAGTTTTTAGAAGCCTTAATTCTCTAAAGTTATGCAATGACCATATTTTTGAATTTTCAGTTTTTAAAAGCTAGATATGTGTGTCCCAGAAGGGGAAAGGTTTCTTTATATTTAGAAAGGGTTTTCCTTTTTTTTGTTACGTTAATGTATCCATCCTTTTGCTAAGAGAACTTTAGTGCTAGCTCTGTGTTGTATCTGTTGAGTTCCACACGTTATATAAGAATGATGTTCAAAAAAATTTTTTTCCAACGTTTCATGTGCAAGAAATAGGAAGTTGCAGACTGAGAACACAGACATGAAAAAAGTCTTAAAGTGAGCACTGAAAAAAAATTTTAAAACGTGTACTACCTTTTTCCTGATAAACTGCATGACTCTGGCTCTTACCGTTACTTTAGAGGAAAGGGTATTGAGCAAGTCTACAGTAAGTTTTATTTTTTTAATTTATATAAAATTTTACTTACTATCTTTTTCTGCGTATATAATTTATGCCATAAAAATGCTAGGGTGTTTTATTTCAGTTAAAACTGGCTGTGTGGGAAGTAGATTGCATAATTAGGAAAAATAAATGAAACTTAAGATAATAATAAAAAAAATGCCTAGCCCTTGCTTAATGCAGAAGTTCTTGTCATGGCCCAGAGCAGTGCAGAATCAAACGGCTCTTGGGAGTTTGTTTAAAAGCAAACACCTGCCATAAAAATGCTAGGGTGTTTTATTTCAGTTAAAACTGGCTGTGTGGGAAGTAGATTGCATAATTAGGAAAAATAAATGAAACTTAAGATAATAATAAAAAAAATGCCTAGCCCTTGCTTAATGCAGAAGTTCTTGTCATGGCCCAGAGCAGTGCAGAATCAAACGGCTCTTGGGAGTTTGTTTAAAAGCAAACACCCGTCCATGCAAAAAAAAAAAAAAAAAAAAAAAAAAAAAAAAAAAAAAAAGGGGGGTGTTTTTCCTTATAATT